TCAACGCCCAGGACGGCGCAATCTTGTATTCTATCATTCTTGCAATCACCGCTGATGATACTGTGCTTGTAATAAATAGTCTGAAAAGACAGAAAATTGCATTATTCAAATGTTAACCACATCAAACAAATAAATTTCAATAATTTGTTTTCCATTTCACAAACCGAGTTTCCAAGAAACAGAAACTCACCACGATGCGATACAGAAATATAAACCAACAGGGGTGCATTTTCTTGGTAAACAACACAAGCGCTCAGAGCAATCTGATCCGCAATATTATTTTCTGAAAAAATAAGACTTGAAAAGAGTTCTGAAACATGATTATCACATTATCTAATTAGCGCACACCATCGTGTTTAATTTTAGTAGAATATATTTTATTATCTCAGACTTTTTTTCAATGTTTTCTAATATTCGATCTTTTGGAATACAAAAGCAACCATGCGCTCAATTTCTTGTGGGGAAATTTGGCCCCCATAAAGGACTTTCAACACGAAACTGCAACAAAAACAAAAACCTTTTCTACTTGTATACTGTGGATTCACCCGTATACGAACAGCGGTAGCGGAGCAATGATTTCCACGCACAATGCAACGGTCGGCATACTAGCCCATTCAAACGATTCGAGTGGGACCATGGTTGCCACAATTGGTAACTTTCTACCAAAATTGGTAACTTTTAAACGGTTTGGTAACTTGGTAACTTTTATTTCATTTTGGTAACTTTTGCAACTAAACATCTATTTGCATTACTAGAAAGAAATGAATTATGTTTTGAATGTGCGTAATTATAAAAACCCTTCGAGTTTTAGTGACAGCACTACTGACACTTCTACAAAATTACTTCGATAAAATAAGAGTCATCTCATATTCGAATACTGAAAACTACAAGGGCTGCACTTCCAAAACAACTTTAAAATTTTTCCGATCAATTTTGAATTCTACCCTCACATTTTAATACTGGCCATCTGGCAATTTTTGGTAAGGTAAGGTATTCCGGCAAAAAAAAATGTACCGACATGTATTTCGACGTACAGTAAATTATGAAAAACCGACAAAATAGCAAAAAAATTAGAAATTTTCGCAATTTACTCGAAACGGACGGTTAAAAGCACCCGCCACTTTTTTTTTGTGTGCCGGTGCTATTATTCCGTGAGTCGCAGGTCCAAATATCGGCACATTCCGAATGAAAAATTACACTGAAAATGGCACAACACCGAAGCCGGTTTGTCTCCAAACCAAATTTGACACAGGATGATGAAAAATCGTTCCACATTACATCATACTCCTACCCGAACTGATAGAAAAATATTTTCTAATAAAAAAAATTATTATAATTGTCAATAGCATTTTCATAGATTTAATACTTCAATTAGTTTAGGCTAAAATATCTCGAAAACCTGAGCCAATCGGGCAAAACTGATTTTGGATTCAGATTCAGCGCATCAAAAACCTTTGGAAACGTGTAAGCTGATCCCAGGGTCTGAAAAATGTCGGCCTGTGTAATCAAAAATTGACAAATTATAAAAATATTGAATGTATTAAGTGCACAGAATCGGGCTGTAGGTATATACATACATATTTGTTATGAAATATAGCAGTGTTATTCAGTATATTTTTTTCTCAGTGAAGAAGTGAAGATTTGGTAACTTTTGGTAACTTTTCTTAAGAGATTTTGGTAGAAAAAAATGTTGGCGAGTGGCAACCATGAGTGGGACTGTGTGCATTGCTCAGCTGGCGTTCTTCGTATGTGAAACAAACATGTGCTCAGATAGCGCTCAGCATTCTTTAGGGGTGGCTCACAAGCATGAATATGTTCCACTCTCAAACCAAATCGTGGTTGCCTCAACTAAGATTTGGTAACTATCACCCCTATTGCGAGTGTCGACTGGCAGTAGATAAACGACTATTAAGCGATTATCGATTATCGATGCTATTGTGAGTGTCGCTTAATTAGCGACTGTGAATACTTTTTATACCATGTTCTGACCGACAACGAAAACACCTTGAAAACGAGTTTTAGGGCCGGTTGCTCAAAGCCTGGTTGACACTAATCCCCGGTTAAACATCGTTATCGACGTTACCGACACCGTATTATATGTATGGAGTCGAATACGTCGATAACGATGTTAACCGGTGATTAGTGTCAACCAGGCTTTGAGCAACCGGCCCTTAGGATTGTAGGCTGATAAAATATGATTTCCACTTCGATAAATAATCGAAAAAAACTAGTGCAGACACCGATTGGAATGAGTGGAACGTGAGTTTTCAAGTGGTTTTCAGCGAAAACTTGTTTTCGTTTGACAGATTTTACATGGACGAAAACACAAGTTTTAGGTCGAAAACCAGTTTTAGCAACGAAAACACGTTTTCGATGTCGGTCAGAACATGGTATTATCGCTCATCCTTCTATTGCTGTTTTTTAGTCGTTGGAGTTTGCGTTTATAAAATTTACATAAGACAGTGGTACTATAATGGATAAAAAGTAAGTCAATTGAATTGTAAGTTGTAAAAAATTGTGAAATATACATATGTATGTACATATGTGTCTGAATTACAGATCAAAAATTGTAAGCAACAAAAGGCAACTTGCGCGGTTGGTCGAGCCGATGCAGGAGAGTGAGGACATAGGCAAAGGAATTTCCGTAAAGAGCAGGGGAGGAAGCGCCGCTTCTTTTGTGAAAGATATACAATATTCCTTGTGCATATAATTCCGGCTACGCCATCTACAGTGTTTTTGCGCAGAAACAACAAAAAACTGCATAATTTATTAATTAACTAGTGCTCGGAAACGCGAAATCTTTATGTTAAATTAAGTTTAATTCTTTCACTACACTTGTATGTTAAAGTTTTAAAACACGGGCCACGCGTTTGGACACAAATACTCAACATCATTGTACAAATAACTAAACGGTACCGTATTTCTTCCATAAAATTTATTAATGAGGAAAACAGCTTTTCCTGCAAATCCTGTAAAACCTAAAAATTGGGTTTGAAATATGTCCTTTTTGGAAAATTCGGAAATTAGCGTACATTTCTTACTCCTATTCTCCTTAAAGCAACCACTTCACCAATTTTTGTATTCCCCTTCACTTTACACTTCACTCGATTAGCTATAACTTAATATAACTTCGGTTGCATATGCAAATTAAATGGCGGAGTTCAGCTGTCAAACTCCAAAATATGCAAAAGAATGAGAGACAAAAGAAGATAGGATATAACCCAGTAAGCGTTAAAAATATACAAAGGTGTTCTCTGCAAAAGGTGTTCAGTTCTTCGCAAAACAGAAAGGAGAATTCTAATGCCTGAGGGCTATAATCCCTAAGTGCGGCCGAAGGCCGCCTACGCAGAAAGGTGTTATCTGCAAAAGGTGTTCAGCCCCCCTTCTTTGGCAACACAGAAAGGAGAATTCTACTGCCTGAGGGTTATAATCCCTAAGTGCGGCCGAAGGCCTCCTACGCAGAATGGTGTTCCCTGCAAAAGGTGTTCAGCCCACTTTCTTTGGTAGCACAGAAAGGAGAATTCTACTGCCTGAGGGTTATAATCCCTAAGTGCGGCCGAAGGCCTCCTACGCAGAATGGTGTTCCCTGCAAAAGGTGTTCAGCCCACTTTCTTTGGTAGCACAGAAAGGAGAATTCTACTGCCTGAGGGTTATAATCCCTAAGTGCGGCCGAAGGCCTCCTACGCAGAATGGTGTTCCCTGCAAAAGGTGTTCAGCCCACTTTCTTTGGTAGCACAGAAAGGAGAATTCTACTGCCTGAGGGTTATAATCCCTAAGTGCGGCAGAAAGGAATTCTACGCAAAAATACATTTCTTAAAAAGAAAATTTTTTTTATAAAAACTTGTTTTTTCTATTTTTAATTAACTTGTTTATTCTTTATTCAAAATCGCCCGATATCTAATTTGGCATAATTTCTTTTATTTAATAATCCCACGGTTTCTTTTAGTTGGGTGATATTCCACTTCAAACTGCTCAGTTTGCCTAAGAAAATTCTGTTTTCCCCCCTTTTTCAAACGGTTCTCTAGGGGCCTGTGGGAGGAGCCCAAGGGGGGAATACGCCTTTTTAGAAAGCGGGGACTGTCCCCTTTCTAGTGGGGAGGGTTTGGGTGGGATTAATATTAGCAGCTTTAATATATTTAGTTATAATTATCAACCCATGGTAATAGTTCCCAATCCTTGGTAACAGTTCCTAAATATTGTCAAAATTCGGGAACTAAATATCTTTAGTTGTCGAAACTAATCCTTTTCCTCCGTGTGCACAAGATATATTGCATATCTTTCACAATAGAAGCGGGGCTTCCGCCCCTACTCTTTCCGAAAATTCCTTTGCATATGTCCTCATTCTCCTGCATCAGCTCGACCAACCGCGCAAGTTGCCTTTTGTTGCTTACAATTTTTGATCTGTAATTCAGACACATACAGTATCGGTCATATCTATAGCACGCCATTTCCAAGTGATATTGTGTGCCCCTTATGTTTATTTATATATTTTTACGAATTTTCAATTAAAATTTAGTTCATTCTCAGACAAACCCCATATATACCCAAGTCCAACAATTTGTAGAAAACTACAAAAAAGTGTAACAAATTTTCACCTAAATTTGAAACTTTTTTCCCGGAAGTCTTAGAATTTTTTTGAGTACACAGTTTTTTAGCCCCTGAAATTTTATTTCCTTACTCAGAATACTTCTATCATAATCAATTTTTTGTCTTTTCTTAACTTCTTGCACTAATCTTTTAGCTCTTTGCTGTGCTATTTTATATTTTATTTTATTTATATTTTATTTCTTTGTCATATGCCTCATAGTTATATACTGGGCTAACTATGGCTGACTTCCAAAACGTCAATTGCTTTGCATACTTTGTACGTATTATGTTCCATAATGCCGAACTACACAATATTGACAATGCAAACTTTTCCAAACGCATCGCTAGAGAAACAAAGTTTATGCTTCGTTTGTTATTGGTTACCATTGGTGTTTAAAAAATGGAAAATTCAGAAAAATTGTTCATTGCTATATTGAATATTCAAAATATGCAATGTATATGGTTGCAATGTGTCACAGCTCTGCAGATGCAAACAGTTTGAGTTACGCAGTATTACAGTATCCAAACATTGTATTGACACGTTTTGGAAGTCAGCCTATGTTTTCATGTAAGAATTCGTAAGTCAGAAACTAGTTCGAAAGGACAGTAACCATGGACTGAGCTATTGTAACAATACGAAAAGTATCTAAGGTATTCATCCCAATCGTCCTTGTTAATGGATATGTAGGAACGCACATATTCATTGAATGTTCTATGACTGCGTTCAACCGTGCCTAAAGTTTGATGATGGTAAGGTGTTGAGGTTTTATGCTCAATTTTTAAAAGTTTACATAATTCTTCAAATAAATCATTTTTATATTCGGTTCCCATATCTCCCCTAAGGTTTTTTTTCATACATCCATAAATTAGATTGAGATTTTCGAATATTGCTTTAGCAACTGTTTTTGCGTGTTGCTTTTTATTGGGATGCAATTAAATATTTTATTTTTATAATACAATGGTGACTGCATATTCGATTTCGTTTAAAGATTTAGAAAAGGGTCCAACTGTATCGATCTGTACTATATCAAAAGCTTTTGGAGATGTCTCCGTTATTGTTATTGGTTCTTTCAGGTGTATATTGATTTTATTTTTCTTACAGTTAATGCATTTCTCGATATATTTTTTAATGTAATTTTTCATATTTTCCAGTAATATTTTTGTTAATTAACAATTAATGAGCAAATTTTTGCGGAGTTAAATGAACGCAAACGTCGCGAAGCTAATGTCATCGCCCTAAATGTCATAGAATCCGTCAATGCAGCGGGTAAAGATCGTTTGGACTATGATAGAGCAAAATTGTCAGGCGCCCTACCTTCTGGTTTGTCAGTTGGTGTTGCCAACCTTAAATTACGCAGACTTGGACGTCCTCTTCCTGGTCGCCTGAGGCCACTTCTAGTCGTTACACCTTCGGCATCCGATGCAATCGTTATTCTCCGAAATAAGCCAACTGACGGAAACAATATTACATTCAAACCGGATGTCACTCCAACTCAACAATTGCACCTTAAAAACTTACGCTTTGAACTCGAGTCCCTGGAAAAAAGTGGTGATACCAGCAAAACTATTAAATACGTTAATGGAATTCCCAAAATAGTAAAGAAGAATTTTCGTACGAACAGTTACTACGTTTATACGTATACGTAAGCTATTTGCAAATACCTAACTCACTGTTTATTCGATGGTGAAAAATTCTTTTTTAATATTGCCTGATTATAAAAAGGCAATAATATGACCATCGAAAAGGAAAAAAAAGTTAAAAATGGCAAGATGACCATCGAAAAGGAAAATTAACTTAAGAATGGCAGCGTCTTGCGCTTATTTACAAATCGTACCACTAATCAATACTTATTTGCGTGATTTAGTTATTTGCAAATAAAAAATTAACTCAGCGTTTATACGGCAAAGTTTACCATTTTGCAAATTGTTATTTGCAAATAATGCGTGCGTATAAACGTAGTAAGTGAGGAACAAGAAGTTAATGGATCTCAGTGTGTATTATCAGAACGTCCGAGGTCTACGCACGAAGCTCAGCAGCTTCCTAGCCGCAACGTCAATTATCCAACACGATGTCATTTGCATTACAGAATCTTGGCTGCACCCCTCTATACATGTGGGTGAAATATTAGATTCTACTTATACTATTTATGGTAAAGATCGCAATTCTTTGGTAAGCGGATATGAGCGTGGCGGAGGTGTATTCATAGCTATTAAACGTTATATTGAAGTTGAAGTTATTCCATTAGTTGGCGACGGCATTGAGCAAATATTTGTTAGAGTTAAGGGTAATAACTCGGATACTATTATCGGCTGCGTTTACTTACCCCCGCACCCCTCCTATGAAACTTACATAACTCATTCGTCAACCATTTTTTTTTATAACTGATAAATTTCGAAATGCAAAACTTCTGGTTGTGGGCGACTTCAACTTGCCTAGTAGCACACCTAGTAGTAACTGCACGAATCTACTTTATGATTGCTATACTTCGTCCGGCTGCAGCAGTGTAATTGCATTCCTAATGCATAAAACAATACACTGGACCTCTGTTTCAGTGATATCGACATATCGCCTAATATTACTCCTGCTCTCGTTCCAGAGGATAAGTACCATCCTGCTCTGGCTATTGAGCTTGGTTTCAAACCCAGCCTAACACCAGATGCATCGCCAATCTATGTTTACAAAAAAGCAAACTATATAAATTTGAACGCATTCCACATGAGGACAAACTGGGTGGATCTATACAAACAAGAAACAGTTGACGATAAACTTGACTGGCTTTACCACACAATCTACGAAGGTGTCTCCTAGTTTGTTCCGGTGTACTCCAAGTCGAGAAACTTCCCTTCCTGGTTTTCCAAAGAACTGGTAGAGAAAGTGAAACTCAAAAAGGCGGCACACACTATAAGAAACGAAAAACAAGACTAAATTATACACGTTTTAGTGACCTTAGGCTGGAATGCAAGAAGGTAAGTACGTTGTGCTATAGAAGTTATGTTGGTAAAGTAGAAAACTCACTGTAGTCCAACACCAAGGCGTTCTGGAATTTTATCCAAAACAAAAAACGTAGCAATAGCGAGGTGCCATCGAACATGGTGTGGGGCAATCAATCAGCTAATACTGCAACCGAAATCAGCGATCTTTTTGCGACATCGCCCATAATACCACTCCTCACCTGAATCCTACCGAACAGATCGCTTGCATAAGTGACTTTGAAGTGACTTAAGGGCTAACTATAATATGAATAAGCTGCCGTAACTGACTGTCAGAAAATGAACGAAAAGTCTGTCCAATGCATAAGCAACGTAGTGTAGACTTTAGGTGGCTATATTTTACTTACATGAGTTCAGTGTTGCCACATTTCTTAGATATAACAATAGCTTTCAGGATAACCTGGTGTTTCTGTAAAAGGAAATGCTTACGGCCCACTTCCTAATGTGGAACCAGAACTTCTTTTGACCTGTGTTACATGTAGGACTGAATCGAAAAAGTTACCAAGCTTAAAAAATTAGTTACCAAATTACCAAATATGATAAATAAACAATAATACAGCGGCTCCGCTGGCTTGGTCATGTCGTTCGAATGGACACCGACGCTCCAGCTCTGAAAGTATTCAACTCGGAACCCGCTGGTGGTAGCAGAGGAAGAGGGAGGCCCCCACTGCGATGGAAAGATCAGGTGGAGAAGGACTTGGCTTCACTTGGCGTCAGTTGGCACAGAGGAGAAACAACTGGCGGGCTTTGCTGAACTCGGCCAAAATCGCATAGGCGGTTACAGCGCCAAAAAAGAAGAAGAAGAAGATAAATAAAGAAAAAAATTACCAACTTCGGTAAAAGCCAATGCGGCAGCACTGCATGTGTTACATATGTACATACATACGTACGAGGACAAACAGCTGATTCCGTACGGAAGGTGCGATCAGTATCGCTCTTTCCTTAAGCAAATGACGTTTGGCGAAACTTGATGTTAAGCAAATTATAGTTTCAGGATAGGATTTTGTGTATTCGCACGTTTGCATACGCTTGCTTATTCATATCATAGTTAGCCCTTTACGATGATGTATTTAAACAGCTGAGCACATTAGACTCCAATAAAGGCTTACAAAGCAAATAGCGATGATGATAGCGCGTTGTCGCTTTAAACCGAAATAAAAACGACAAGTTGGCATCACCGTTGGCGTTATCGAAGTTTATCGGAAAAATATCGGTATTCTCAATTTTGAAACGAAAATAGGAACGTCATAGAAACATTCGTCAACTGTCGTCCGCATTTTTTAGAACGAAAGCGAAAGGATTGCGATTTTAATAAAGTTAAAATGAAAATTACTACCGTGCAGCAATTTGAGGTTTTAGTTTCCGAAATGGAAAAGAATCCCGCATACGCCAAAGGTTTTAGGAAGGGCATAAATCCTCTAAACTTCGATAGTTTTTGGAACGTGGTTGCGGAAAAAGTAAATCCTTTTGGACCTCTAGTTCGTGATGGAGACGGTTGGCACAAAGTAAGTAAAATTATGTTAGCAGTAAATATTACTTAAAACTAACGATTATACAATTATACTAAAGGTATGGAAGGACTTGAAATTCAAGGTTAAGAAAAAACTGCTCAAAAACAAAACCGAAGCGAGAGCAACAGGAGGAGGAGCCAATAGAAAAATTCAACTGTCACCACTGGAAGAAGCGGTTGCAAATTCGTTGCAGTTTGAGCAGCAAATAAATCCAAAAGGGAGTGAGTTGGGTTTGGTTGAAGATACCGAAATTGATGCGTTGCTTAACCTTGATGAAACGACTGCGAGTTCTCAAATACAGGCAAGTATAGAAAACGCTGAAGAATATGTGGTCGAAGACTATGTGGAAGATGAAACACCCACAGTTTCAACAAGAGTGCGATCCTCAAGAAGCACAAAACCCTCAGAAAAAGAAAGAATAGAGCTGTTGAGGAAGCAGACCGAAATACAGGAAAAGCAGTGCGACCATTTATAGTCCATTAAGTGATACATGAAAGATGTTTCCAGATACCAAAGAAAAAGGTATGAGATAGAAGAAGAACGCCTAAAAATTTACAAAAGGAAGGCACGTAAAGAAGAGCTTTTGGAGCTGGATGCTGCAGTAAAAAGAAAAAAGTTGCAGTTATTAGAGAAACAATTAAGTTCAAATATGTAATTTATTTCATTTGAAATTTTATTTATTTTTTATTAAGTGTTTTTCTTTTTTTACTTTAAGTATGTATGTATATAGCATGAATTAAAAATAAAACTTATAAAGACAAATTGCTTTTAATCACATCTCTTAATCTGGGAGCCTCTAAGCTACCACCTGCCTCATTTTCATTAGTAATGGCAGAATTTTCTGCTTCTTCGAAAGGCGTTTGTAGATCATCTCCAGGAAAGTATGTATTGTAGTGAAGACAAATATTGTGAAGAGCAGCACAAGCGTTTACGATTTTAGTAATTTTTTGGGGATCATAGTGTAACTCACGCGCTCCAAGGAGGCATCGAAATCGCGATTTGAGCACTCCAATCACTCGCTCAACAATATTTCTTGCTTTGGAATGAACGGAATCGTAGCGGCTTTCCGCACTGTGTTCAGCCGCTGATCTATAAGGTGTCATTAGAAATGGTTCTAATGGGTAACCCACATCGCCTAAAAACTTGTATGTAAAACTCATTTCAATATTATTTGTAATTTCATACCAAGAATCCACGAATTACGTTCACCAGCTTAATATTTTTCTTGTAAAAACCTTACTCGGCTGGTATTGCAAATTAAGGAATCGTGTCCAGAGCCTGGATGTCTGGCGTCTACGTATCTNCACATCGCCTAAAAACTTGTATGTAAAACTCATTTCAATATTATTTGTAATTTCATACCAAGANATAGTAAAGTATATCAGTTTTTGCTAGAAAAGGGGATTAAGTTGAAAGCATGTCCGGCATATGTACACGAGCTAAACGGAACTGCAGAGAGGTTTAATCGATCGATAATGGAAATGGCAAGATGTCTCTTGACAGAGGCTAAAGTAGACCGAAAATATTGGCCAGAAGTAATTAAAGCTGCCGCGTATTTGAAAAATCGGACTTTGACAAACACAATAGAAAGAAAGACACNTCAGTTCGTTCAAAAAAACTTTGCTTGCACTCCATCGTCATCTTCCGACATTTGGAACTTAACCCAATTTTTGCAGATTGTACTTTCCATCGCGTCTAACACCTCGGATAAAATTTTGCATACCGTGGGTTGGGCCAACGACAAATTAAAGTCATTTCCAACGCTAAGCTGATATGACCCTTGCGCAAAAAACCGCAAAGCAGTTGCCAGTTTTATTGTTGGCGTAATGGCAGACTTTCGCGTGTTGCGTTTTAGTTTCGGTCGGATTTGCTCTAGCACGTATTGAAACGCAGCTTTGTTTAATCTAAATGTGTTCACAAATCTAAAAAATATGCACATATGTACATGTACGTAGATATATAAATAATTTACTTAAATACATTTTCTTAGCATAAATGTACTTACACTTCCAGATACAAGGAAGTGTAAGTACATTTATGCTATGTCGTAACCTCCTGCGATGTTTATTTATATTGTTCACTTCATTGTCCTCACTTGAACTTGAAAAATAAAATTCCGTACTCGCCATTCTTTAATTTTTCGTTAATATAACAAAATTCAAAATTCAGTGTCAAAACTAACAACGCAAAACACTGCAGCGCTGCCATACTTTATTAATTTTAATTTTTTGTTTCCGATAACTTTTCTCCGTCGTTTCAATATACTTCAAGAATGCGAATTTAGGAACGAAGCGACGATAAAAACGACAACGACATAGAAACGATTATTATAGAGACAACGCCAACGGGAATAGGGCCGAATATGGTTGCTTGATAGTGGATGTACAGACCACATCATTAACAGTGATGAGTATTATAATGAGTATGAGACATTGAAGAACCCCATTAAGGTTAAAGTCGGCGATGGGAGAATCATGGAAGCTACTAAAGTCGGTAACATTAAAACTTTCTTTCCAGAGTATGATGAAAAATCCGAGGTTAAACTGATTGATGTATTTTACGTTAAAGAATGAAAGCAGATTTATTAAGCTACTCTAAAATCACCGACAATCACTCTGTCATCTCTAAAGGCCGACTATCGAAAATATACAACAGCTATCGAGAAATTGTAGCGATGGCAACGAAAGAGGAAAGACTATACAAAATGAAAAGTTATATGACAAAAGAAAAACTAAAGGCGAATGTGGTCACGAATAAAGAGCTAACAATGAAAGAAAAATTACATCGAACTCTCGGACATGTATATTTTAAAAATCTCCAAATAATGTGTAAAAAGGAACTGCTTGAAGGATTGCCTAAAGAAATTGAGACAGAGTATATGAAATGNCAAAATGCAAACATTGAAGTTGTTATTAGCTTACTGTTGTCAAAATAGTTTAGAAGTTCACCAAATNTCGGATTTGCTCTAGCACGTATTGAAACGCAGCTTTGTTTAATCTAAATGTGTTCACAAATCTAAAAAATATGCACATATGTACATGTACGTAGATATATAAATAATTTACTTAAATACATTTTCTTAGCATAAATGTACTTACACTTCCAGATACAAGGAAGTGTAAGTACATTTATGCTATGTCGTAACCTCCTGCGATGTTTATTTATATTGTTCACTTCATTGNTACAGCAAATTAGCGAAAGTATACTGTATTCAAGCGAAAGAACAAGTATACGAATGTATGATGCAGTATGTGAATGAAATTCAGAATCAGACGGGTAAGACTATAAAGGAGTTGCGCTGCGACAACGGAAAGGAGTACATGAATAGTAAAGTATATCAGTTTTTGCTAGAAAAGGGGATTAAGTTGAAAGCATGTCCGGCATATGTACACGAGCTAAACGGAACTGCAGAGAGGTTTAATCGATCGATAATGGAAATGGCAAGATGTCTCTTGACAGAGGCTAAAGTAGACCGAAAATATTGGCCAGAAGTAATTAAAGCTGCCGCGTATTTGAAAAATCGGACTTTGACAAACACAATAGAAAGAAAGACACCGTACGAAATATTCTTCAAAAAGAAACCATCGATTAAAAATTTCAAAATGTGCGGTAGCAAAGTTTATGTGAGAATTCCAGAAGCGAAAAGAAAATCAAAATGGGATAAAAAGGCTGAATTGGGAACTTTACTTGGATATACAGAGGTCGGTTATAGAGTGTTAGTTGGAAGTAGAGTGATTGTGGCAAGGCATTGTGACATTATTGAAGAAGATGTTACATGTATCGGATTTGATGATGACCCTGAAGAGAAAGGAAAAGAAACTTTAAATTGTACACAAGAGTCTGAAACCACGAAGAAATACGAAATAGATGGTAGTTTGAGTGATGAAAAACATGATTTCGAAAATAATGACGGCAACACAAACAAGGGGACTAAAAAAAGGCAAATAAAAGCCCCAGTAAGGTTCGGTGAAGAGTTCGGCTACTACTGCATAGGGGCGAATTTTTGTGACGCAACGACTCCAATCAATTATCAGGAGGCAGTAACAAGCGAAAAAGCAGCGGAATGGAGTGAGGCAATGAATCGAGAAATGAGCAGCTTGGTGGAAAACAATACGTGGGAACTTGTAAGCAAACCTCGTGACAGAAAGGTCTTGGATGTCAAGTGGGTCTACAAGAAGAAAGCTAACAGTGAGTATAAAGCTAGATTGGTAGTTAGGGGGTTTCAGCAAACCGATGGTGTCGATGATACTTATGCCCCGGTCGCCAAAATGCAAACATTGAAGTTGTTATTAGCTTACTGTTGTCAAAATAGTTTAGAAGTTCACCAAATGGATGTCGAAACAGCTTTTTTTAAATGGAAAGGTGTTATCGNTGTATGAATGTGTAAACGAATCTGTTACTACAATTGGTTTTCGCAGGTGCAAATATGATTATTGTCTTTATGTTAAAAGCAAGTGGTTTAAACACATATTTACTATTATTTGTAGATGATTTAATAATCTGTTGCGAAGATATACGAGAAATAATTAACATTAAAAACCAACTGAAGAACAAATTTAAGATGAAAGATATGGGTAAAGTTAAAACATATATTGGAATTGATATTGAATATGAATATGGAAATTGTAATACTATGGTTTTAAGCCAAGAAATGTATATAGAATCTTTAGCTAAACGATATAATATTCAAAACGCTAAACTGTATAAAACACCTATGGAAATGAGTTTAAAATTGGAAGAATGTGACCTAAACGAAGATGTAAAATATAGAATCTTAATTGGCGCATTATTGTACATAAGCTCTGGCACAAGACCAGACATAGCCTACAGTGTAAATTTTTTAAGTAGATATCAAAATTGCTGCAATGAAACACATTTTAAGTATGCTTTGCGAGTACTCAAATATTTGTATTTAACCAGAAGTCTTAAATTGAAATATTATAAAAATGTTAATGCTGATACAATGGATTGCTTTGTAGACGCAGACTTTGCAGGAGATACTGTAGACAGGAAATCTACATCAGGTTATGTTAAAAGATTATTTGGAAATGCTATTTATTGGAAATCTAAAAAACAAAGAAGTGTAACTAAATCATCTACTTTTGCTGAATACATTGCAATATCAGAAGCTGTAACAGAAATACTTTATCTGCTTTATATAACTAACGATGTATTTACAAATGTCTGTAAACCGATTAAAGTGTTTGAAGATAATTCAGGAGCAGTAGCTATAGCAAAGTATGGAAATTTTACTAAAAATTCAAAGCACATTGAAGTTCACTACCACTTTGTACATGAAAACGTTAAAAATGGAACTATTGAAATTGTAAAAATTAATTCTGAGAACAATGTTGCAGACATTTTTACTAAAGCGTTAGGCAGTGTTAAGTTCGAAAAATTTAGAAACATGTTAAAATAAGATTACAATAAGTATTTAATATAAATGTAAGGAGGCGTGTTGAAATATAATACATTTATATTCTGGAAGTATGGAAACACTACGCAAAAAGACAAGTTTGCAACTTCCGCCTTTTTTCTTTCTCTCTACTTTTTTACTTCTTGCGATTTACACGTGCCTTTGTCAAGACACTTAAGGTATTAAAATATATAATAAAAGACTAGATTTAGAACCAAAAAGAACCGGCTTATTTTACTTGGTCGTCCTAACACATATAACTATAAATTCCATGCAATGAATTCTAGCGCCTGTGTCCATAGTGTATATACTGATTTCAGTAAGGCCTTTGATCGCGTCGACCTAACATTTTACTGAATAAATTGAGAAACTATGGAGTTGATGAAGCTACAGACAACTCAGAACACCACACAGGACAGCGACTGGATGCCTCCTGACGTCGCCAGAACACCACCTTCATGGCGAGGCAAAAATGCTCCCAGTCAAGGAGCATAACATAATGCTCTGCAAGCAGTTTCTGGTTGGGAGCCACAGATGTGGCCACCCAAACAGACAGCTGCTTGCAGAGGTGCCCTCGCTAGGCACGTCAGGAGGCATCTATACGAACTGACGGACGAAGTCCAGAGGTTCATTAAGCAGCCTCTGGACCCGTCAGCATACCGACAGGCCCTGAACGGCATTCACAGGGAGTCAGTCTCGAGTTATGTAGACTCTAGACCTGTGAATGCCGTTCTAGGCACACAACCTTCGGACATTGACGAGACGGAGCTTCATCTGCCTCGGGAGACAAGAACCACAATAGCCCAATTTCGCTCTGGCTACTGCAGCAGGTTAAACCCATACCAGAGCAGATTGAACGCAGATGTGTCAAATGAGTGTCC